CAGAATTGTCAGGTTGGACACTGGTAAAGTTGATGTTTCCCCTCTTCCCTTCTCTGAAATAGTACTTGATTCTTGTATTGTTTGGCTAAACAACCCCAATTTTTAAATTCTAGCCCAGGATGTGGTTTCAAAATCCCTCACCAACCTGGTTATTCATCTCAGGACATTCCCTTTGGGTGTTCTTTTACACCATTTCGCCCATTTACAATACACTGTACGAATTCTTCTTTGCTAAGAACTCCAGAGCCAGACTAGGAGTGGCATTCAGCGGAGAGGCCATGATGCATCTACCAGGCTTGTCCTATCTCCAGGCAGGACACGATACTGGCAAAACTATTAGACTCTCTTTCTTAGAGCTTTATTGTTTTGACTTTTCTATTCCTCAAAGCAAAAAGTTACTCAGCCACTGTACCTCCTTAAGTTTGGCTACCCGTTTGCTTGTGGTTTTGTTTTTGTTTGGGTGTTTTTTACATTTTTATTTACTGATTTGAGAGAAAGAGAGAGGAAGAAAGAGAGAGACATCAATTTGTTGTTCCACTTATTTATGCATTCACTGGTTGATCCCTGTATGTGCCCTGACTAGAGACCCAACCCTCAACTCTGATGTATCGGGTCATTGCTCTAACCAATTGAGCTACCAGGCCAGGCCCTGTTGATTGGCTTTTTTAAACAGTAGTATTAAATGTAGAATGTTATCTAATGAATATCATTGTCACCTAATATGGCAGGAGCCACTGTGGCTCAATATCAGTGCTGTGCCTTTTGAGTTTCCATAATTCCTATATTTGTGTACAATAGCATTTAGGGTAGAACTTGACCAAATTGGTTTTTGGCTCAGTAAAAGTCCACAGCTGAATACCAGCCTGGTGCTCCAGTCAAATAAGAAATGCCATCAAGTCTTCCCTAAATTATATGTGTTAGTATAATTTATTTACCATCACCCTCCTAGAATCCAGCTGTTTTTGCTTTTTTTGTTGTTTTTTCTGGTTATCTTAATGATATGGCCATATCAAAAGACCATGATGAAGAAGGCAACCAACTCATACTTTGGTTTTAGCTTTATTAATGAGAAATGCTAATTTCACAATGAACTGTCTGTGGTGGTCACCATCTGGTAGGAAGGTAACCAAAAATTGAAAAACTTCAGCTGTGGACTGCAGTCTTACGCTATCTCTGATGTTACCTTTAGTGTTTCTGGTTACATACTTGGGGTCTACTGGAAAAAGTCTTTTGAGCGGCCTTGGCTTCTCACAAAGTCATAAATTTCTGTCATCATGGATAGATTGGTGAACTTGGAGTAATAACTCTATTTGCCTTTGGTGATAGGAGAAAGCCACTGTGAGGCACAAACTCTATCAGTTCACAATGGTCTATTAAACATCTCTTGAAAAGTACAACATTGTGCCTCAAATTGCTTTAAAAATGAGGTTTGATTTAGCAGTTCTCCTTCCAGTTGGAGGTTCATAATGTGTTTCTCTTCTTATTGCAACTCCAAAATGTTTTTGTTTGCTTTCCACTTTTCATCTCTTGAGCCACTGCGTGATTACTGACAGTAGGCAATTTCTACATCTGTGATCACGACAGCATTACCTGGGATCACAGAGCACACATGTCCTACACATGAATCGATTTGGCTTTTCCAGTGGGTTTTGTGAGCAGTTATTTGATTTGGACATTTAGGCTTAATTCCCTTTAGTATTGATGCTGATTCTCCCCAACAGCTCATTTATCTTTTAGAGTACTTTAAATGTGAGGTTTTATTGCAAAACATTAATTTTCCTTAATGTCAAAGGTTTACTCTCCTCCTCTCTCTTCTAATATTATGCATTTAACTCTGTAGTTTGTACAGGTCACTGCAGAGAAAAGCTGAGGTTTGGACTTTTACCCCATTTTAATAAATATATTTATTTAGGACAGAGGGGAAGTGCTTCGTGCACGGTCGGGGCTGAGCAAACAGTGCTGCCGATTTGGGGTGTTTCTACCTGCCCCGCCCTGTGTGTTTTCAGTGCCGGGATGAGGCGGTGTAGCTTCTTTTTCCCTAAAATTCCAGAGCCATGCCTTGTTTTGAACTCTCTTTCTTTGGACCTCTCCACTTGCTTTTTCCATTTGTAATCATTTCTAGCATCTTACATACTTCTGACTTTCTTTAAATATTGACTTTCAGCCCATAACCCCCAACCCTCATCCCTGCCTTTGATAACCTCATGCCTGCTGGATAAAGTACAACACAAATGTAAGCAAACATCCAGTGAACTGTTCAGTCCCAGCTTCCATTTCTTTCCTTTTCTATTAAATAACTTTTACTGTCATTGTACGTTGTGTCCTACCAACATGATCCGTGTTCGTACTACTTTGTAGGCAATGCAGACAGACGAAAAGCAGAAAAATATAAGTGGCTTATTTTCTCCCACCCAGAATTCATTGCTGTTAGTATTTTTATCTATATGCCAATGTACATGAATGTGTGTATAGTCATGAATTCACATGCATACCTTTTCCCCCATAGAAATGAAACCTGATGTTTGAACCCCCAATTTAAACTCATATATGTGTTTATGCATGTGTTTATGTACTCATATATGTGTTTATGTATGTGACGATGCCTCCATGTTGTAAGACATTCCACACTGTTTTGTTTTGTCTGCATAATGTTTCATTAGAGAGCTGTTTCTATTGATGGACATTTCCGTTGCTTCTGTTCTCCTACAAACTCCCTAAAACCCTTGTAACTCTGCACATGTCCATGACTGTTTCCTCATACTGTACATTGTAGAGGTGGACTTGCCAGCTCAAAGTGCACAGAGAATGTTAAGTCAGCCTATCTCTCTCCCTCATCTCTTATCACCTGCTTTAGCCTAACTAGTCTAACTGCTTGGTCTTCTTTCGCTTTAACCACATACCTGCCCCTATCCTCTCTAGTCTGTTTTGAGTGGCTCATACTGAGTCATTCTTGGAATGCCCCTTCCAGGACTCTTACCTATAGAAATTCGCTCTTTTGTTTGAGGCTCAGTTGAAGTCCCTGAAGCTCTCGTTAGCCATTCAGCTCATAAGAGTCTCCCCACTCTTATCACACTGTGTCTCTACCACCTATTGAGCACCTTCCTCCATAATGAGCAATATAATGCGGCATCTTTTTTTCTGTGTTTGTCTTATCTTCCCAGTAACAGTCTTAACTCTATGGTGTAGGCACTTTTAACTTCAAAGCTGTACTTAATAGGTTAAGTAAACACGTGACTTTTATGGTCAACCTCCACAGATATCTCTGGACTTCTCTGTCTACTGGGAACACTTGTGTGCATATTTAGTGATTGGCTTGCCTTCTTTTGTCCTAGGAGCTCCTAGGACGCCTTTCTAGTGGGGGGGGGGGGGCTGTCTCATTGGTACCTGAGAGGAAAAGAAACAGACTTGAGGTTTTTGTTTTCTAACTATTCTTGGCTTAATTCATAGTCAACCATCTATAGGCTCATTCTTGGCAATTTATTGAAAGAGATTTTGAACATGCTTGAGCTAGCCTGATAGCCTGTGGATTTTTGGTGTTGGTTTAAGGGTTTATTGTGTGTGGACATTTTACATATTAAAACAGGCACTTTTTAAATTCCTCTCTTCCTCAAGGGAACATTTTTATATTTCGGGATTATAGCAGTGACAAAAATGTACAGGGAAATAAACCACTCCAGACTGGATTTGCTCTGCCTTATCTTTTTCATTATCAGATTGTCTGTAATCTGTCTTTTTTTTTTTTTTAGGTGACAGGTTATTAAGGAGATGGTTTTAGCAAGATATTCAGTACTTCTTACCCTAGGCATTGGCACTGTTTTAATCCTCACCTCCCTTAAAATGGTTACTTGCTACAATGGTAGAGGTTATTCTCCAACCTTCCAGCTACCCATTCTACTTCTTTGGTTCACAAAGAAAGTGTTCTATTAGGCTCTACAAAAACAATGCTTCCTGCCTGGCCTATTCACTCAATAAGAAATAAATCATTGTTTTCATAAGCATGCCTGATAATAAGGCAGATTTCAAAGCATGATGAAACGTATACTTTTGTAGCAGAGGAAAAACCTGTAGTTACCTGGCTAATTACCCATCACATGATGGCTGTGTGTAAATATAGGCTTTTCACATGCGCGGCTTCTCTGTGGGTTTCTATTTTTTTTTAATTGAGAATGTTCATTTAGTTACCATTGTTTTATATTAATGTCCTCAATCAAAGATTTAGAAGAATGAGCAAATATAAAAGCTACCATTTTAGGGTGGCTTCTTTTTGACCTATACTAAACCTCTGTGGTATGGACTTTAAAATAAGACAGACCTGGATTCCACTGCTTGCTCCATGAGCTCTGTGACTTTAAAAATTGTAGTTCTGGTTTGATTGCTTATTTGTGAGACAGAGTTAACAATACCTGTCTCGTGAGACTGGGGAAGATGAGGCTGGATCACCTGTGGGAGAGCACCAACCTCATAACAGCAGCGTTTCATCGAGAACATTAGTTTCTGCCCTGGCCTATAGCTCAGTGGATTAGAACACTGTCCCCAATACATCAAGGGTGCAGGTTTGATCCCTGGTCAGGACGCATTCAAGAATCAACCATTAATGCATAAATAAGTAGAACAACAGATCAGTGTTTCTCTTTCTCCCTTCCTCTCTCTAAAATCAATACACAAAAATAAAGAACCTTAGTTTCCTTTTCTCTTTTCTTTAGAAAAGTAAACCTGACCAAATGCTGTTTTCCTCCCCAAGAAACTATATTGGACAATTTCAACCTAAAAGAATACCAAATATAGGTAACAGTAGTATGTTATCTTACAAACCTTTGAATATCTATTACAAGGCACTGGAACTAACTCAGGGTTAAATAAGTCATGATCCAGTTTTCTAAGAGTCCAGAAAACCTCAAGGGTCATTGTGAGAGCTTTTAATGTGATGCTCTATTTAATTCTCCACACTAGAATTTACCTGTGTGTATTGTCCTGTAAACCATCTGTTTACACTTCCCCTGATCACTCTTCAATCATAATTTCCGTGTCATCCTTGCACAGAGACCATGCTAATCTTCTCTGTATTGTTCCAGTTTTAGTACATGTGCTGCCAAAGCGAGCACCCTTCAATCATAATTAACAGCTGATTCTAGTTGGTCAGAAAATTTGGTGCCAGGACTTCAAATGTCCTTTGGGATATCACAAGGGAAATATGTGAATCACTGGCTTCAACCAATTTCTCTCTGGCTGTGAACTGGCTGTTCTTGGGGTTTATTGAATGTGTATCAGTAGGTGCGTGGTGCTTGTGTGTTTTGGGGATGGTCCAAACCGGAAATCCCATTTGTCCTTGAGGTGCTTAATAATTCCAAAAGAAACCAGAGCTCACAGATTGGCCATGGTTTTGTGAGTCATTTTCTCTTGGAGGTCACGAGCAAGAATTTTCAATGTCCAGCAGAACAACCTGTATTATGCTGCTGTAAGAAACATGTCTGGAATCACAGTGGCTTAACATGAGAAAGGTTTATCTCATGTTCACGCAGTTCATTGTGGCGCACAGGATTCTACAGAACAAACTTCTCTCTGTGAGACTCCACCTTGGACCTCCCTTTCAACGGGTGCATCTAGATCAAAGGAAGGGGAAAAAAGAGGTGGACAGTGGAATGCTAAACGTTTGCACTCAATAGTAACATGAAGTAACACGCATCGCTACTACTCATATGCCATTAGTCAACAAAGTGATTAAGTCCATGGTCTTGACTTACATCAAGGAGGATATGTAATCCTAACACACTCTTAGAAGGAGAGGAAAATGGGACACTGGGTGGACGTTCATAATATCTCGCAAACACCCTTAGGATAATGATAAATCTCACAGCATGGTGAAATCTCAGGGTTGATCACCTAGTTATAAACCTCTAGTTATGACATCTTTCCTGCACTTACTACTACTTAAAATGTCCTCTGCAGAAATCTTGACTATTTGACTTTTTAATATTTTCAGTGATTGGAGCTCATTTCTCTTAAAAGCCATTCCATTTCATCATCAATCCATCTCTGTGTTAGAAATTACTACTTTTGTGAATTAAATTTGAAAATCATGGCTTATAGTATAAATCATTTTACTAATGCTATAAACTAGTGGTACTAATTCTGTTCTTGTAAAAACAGAGAGAAAGTCAAATTTTTCTTGTTCTTGCGAGTATCTCAAATATTTGAAACCCATTGCCTCTGCCCCCATTGTCTAGGAGGTCAACATCAACAGCCTTGACCCTGTGGGTCATCTGTGGCTTAAGTTCTAGTTCCTTCACATTTCTGGCGGTCTTCACCTAGTGTCTCCCGGCCACGTTCAGAGTGTAACTGTGTCTCTGTTTAAAGAAAAGATAGCTCTCCAAACTGTTTTTTCTACTTAACTTTACTTGCTATGCCATACATGTAAAAATGTAAACCATTCAGGAGTCCAAGCCCTTTATTACCCCCTTTCCAGTTCCACTTTCTTTCCCCAGAATTAACACATCAATAACAGTTGGTGGTTATTCCTCCAGTTATCTGTGTGTCGATGTGTGCTCTGTGTGTACAAATTGTTTTGCTTTAATAATAAGACCGTACTGTGTACATTACTTTGCAACTTGCTTTTTTTCTGCTGTTAAGTAACCTAGAGCCGTGCTATCCAGCATGAAAGCCACTAACCACATGCGGCTGTTGAGAATTTGAAATGTGGCTACTGCAACGGAGAGACTAAGTTTTTAATTTTATTTAATTTTAATGAATTTCAGTTTAAAATTTAAAACTGAAGCGGTATAAAGCATTTTTTGTTAAACATAATTTTGTTGTTCTGGTAGGACTATACATTACTTTAACTGTTCAATATTTACCATGCAAATCTGATACTTTATAAGTATAAAATATACCTTGAATTTTTAAAACTTAGCATAAAAGAATATATATCTCATTATTAATTTTCACATTGGTCCCATGTTGAAATAATATGATAAATCTTTTTGATATGTTGGGTTAAATAAAACATATTATTGCAATTAAATTTACCTTTTCATTTACATTTTTAATGTGGCAACTGGAAAATTTTGAATTATAGGTGTGGCTTGCACTGTATTTATACTGGACAGCCCTGATCTAGAGAGACTTGGACAGCTGCGCTGTCTCGATAACCCTTTTATTCTGAAGGAGGATCACTGTTGTGCGCACTGAGTGCTTCAAAAGACCAGGGCACTTTTCTTGCTCTGTAAGGAAGATGAAGCTGAAAGAGACACCATATTGCCCTCAGGAACTCGTAGTGTCACAGGGCGGACAGACACAGTGAAGTTATAAGATGGAGCTTAGCCAGTGCATGGATGAAGATATAAGCAAAATACACTGGGAGCATAGAAGAAGGTTCCTGAGTGCACGTGTTTCATGTGAAAAAACTTGTAAATGCTGAAAGAATGGGAATTACGACCCATTTCTTTGGCAAGAGGCTCATGTACATGATGATTGAGTAAATGAGGAGATCCCCATCCCGTGTAATCTCCCCATTCCACCAGGCTATTACTAGAAAGGAAGAATCTTGAGGTCATCTCTGGCTCAGATCTTTTTGAAGGTCCTACTCATCCCACTAGGAACTTGGACTTAGTTCCAACATGGCTTTCCAGACAGAATTCTGGTGCTTGCTGTTAAGTGCTGACCTTCGTTATATCCAGTGAATACACAGTAGTTCATACCAAGCTTGTCTACTAAGCAGAAGAAGTATGTGTATTATATATTCCTCATTAAAATTCTCAATATTTTGCCAGAGCTTTAGCACTTCCAACCAAAAAGTGTTCTGAGATGTTAAAGGGAAGATAATTAAGCTTAAGGCTCTTTACGATTTATTTAGATTTACAATTTCATTTGTTTCATAACTATGAGGACTCATCATGTCTACAAACACATGCTCTTTGGTGATAAAATGATATCAGTTAAGACTCGAAATCTTATGTTTTATTCTCTTGTTGAGTGTCCTTAATTAATCAAGACGATATATTCATATCATATTCTTAGCTTGTGTTACCTACACTAAGTAAAAAAGTTAGCAATTTTAGATTGCAAATGACAGAATTTTTCCTTGAAAATGTCAACTTTCTGCCTAGTTATGTTTATCCATGGTTACAAATGGAGCTAGTGTGGTTAACAAAATCAATTCACACAAAACATTCTCCCAAAGATAATGTTAGTGGTGGATTTCACAAAATCAGACAATTCATCTGGGCAGAGCTTTCTGGTTGAATAAAAAAATTTCTGGTGAAACTGTTTTGGGAGAGAGGATAGGGATAGTATAGAATCCATACTGTAGATGTTAGGTTCATGGTTTGGCAGGAGCTGTGCTGATAATTATCAACTTTCCCCCACTCCCCAAAACTGTAACTTAGGACATAGGTCAATTGCCTGAATATTCTGCTGTGAAATTGTCTGAGTCATGGGTTCTTAAGGACTGATGGGTAAATTTTTGGGGGGATTCTTAACTACCCCCCAAGCCCCAAGTTTTCATATATAATTCTAAATATAAATAAGTATTTTCTTGGGAAAATATTCATAGCATTCATCTGATTCTGAAAGGGGTATATGATGATAAAAAGGTTATATAAAATATATTTTATGCCTGATTATCAGTTACCCTTCTCCCCAAAAAGCCACCCCTCAGGCATTTCCACCAAGTGCATTTACTATATTTTTCTGGTCAGCCCTGTACCTGAGACAGTGGGGAAAAGGCAGTTTGATTCACCTGTCCTGATGGTGCTTAACCTTTGTAGGTGGGGGTGGCATGGATAACTTTGATAACCTAAAGAACACTATGAAGTTCCTACCCAGAATACGTTTACATCTACAAAGTTGAAATCGCATTTGAGGACACTCATGGATGTCCTCTGGAAACTGGTCATTGTATTCTTTGTTCAAGACTGTGGGTCGATTCCCTGGACAGAGCACCAAATTGCTATGCTGTGAAGAAGCAGCGTGAGGATGCTGTGTGGAGGATGCAGTGTGTCTACCCGTGAGGTTGGTGGGAATCCACTTTCCCATGCAAGGGTTTCTGGTTCTCAAGCTTGTGTGGGAAGGAAGGGAAGGCCTCTCTCGTCTCGTGTATTTTTTGTTTCTATTTTCAAATTAGAAATTCTGACAGCAGGGATAAACAATCAGGAATTCTTATTTTCTGTTGTCTGGGTAATCTGGGTATGCTGTGGACACTTCATATGTTTATTAGCTACTTTCTGTTTAGAGTGCTCTAAAGAGGCTTGCAATAGCAGAAAGCCCTCTAAAAACTCCTATTGATGAAGCAGAGCATTCTTTTTATAATGTAGATACATTTCATATGGCTTAATTTTTATATATCACATTTTCATAATACATGGCCTGACTATGGATTATTTTGAAAGCCTTTTTGTCAAATCAACTCAATGGCCACTTCTGACAGCAATTTGTTTATGATAAGAATCAATCTCATGCTCAATATTCTAAATATTTATAGAATAACTTTTTTTCTTTAAGCGCTCTGCATATTGTTTGTGGGTCTAAATTCCATCTATCTCCTAGGAGCATGAGTGGAAACCCAAGATGACAAGCCTTTTCAAAAAAATTCTGATCAAGGCCCCATCTGCTATTTATTAGACTAAGCTACTTACAGGGAGGGCCATGAGGGTCCCTGGTACATCCCAGTCTTTAAGGTACTGTCTGGCATGTGGTAGGTGCTTGATCCGTATGTTGAATGGGTGGTGGGTGACTGGGCTTTAATCTTATACCTGGAGACAGTGTAATATGTGGTAGCGCTCTGGCGGACCTGGACTTGAACCCTGGATCCCCAATGTTAAAAAATCTGTATAATTCCTACATCCCAGGAATATGTTGTAGGATTTAGTAACATACTGAATTCCAAGTGCTTAAGAAAGTGTCAGCACAGTAAACTACTTGATAAATAGTAGCATTATTAAAGTCCTAGGCCTTAAATTAGAATACCCTAGATTTTAGTCATTTACAAACCAGTGTCACAATTTTTGTCACATCACCAACTCCCTATGTTATTGTTGACTTAATTTTTTTCTTTACCTTAAGTGCTTTTTTACATAAACAATTTTATGTAATAGGAAATTTTATATCA